TTACTCGAATCCGAGTACTCCCGCAGTTTGCGCGGATCTTCGCTGCTCTTTTGCACGTGCTAGAGACAAATGGACCGGCCCTTAAAACATTTAACTTTCACGCTGTTTATTGATAAGCTACTGCTGCATTTTTATGGACGGATTTTAGTGTCGCTTAATCAGGTTACGGAAACTTATCTTTGATGTTCTTAATGACTTTGTTTTTAGCTTCAACGACGTGATTTATGTTTCGGGGTTCGTGTATAAAGGAGGTGTTATGAATTTGTACTTTATCTCTTATCTGATTGGAGGGGAATTTTTTTTTAAATTGTAACGAAACTTTTTTGTTGATATAACCTCTTCATAAATTAATAGAAGGGTTGAATATTTTAATAATAAGTTAATATTTTATACTTTAAATTCGATTTATGAATTCAACGTGAAATTTATTTTTTAAATATTATAACGAGGAGCTATTACTTCCTTTGATATTATTTATGTATCTAAGTTTTTAATTAAATGAAAGGTTACGAGTGTTACAATTTTAAACATGAATTATTAATTTGTAGGAAAAATATGTTTTAAAAAATTGTAACAAGATGTAATTTATATTATTAACATACACATGTGTACTTTTAGGTAAATGTTACATGAACATCATTTCTTGAGAAATATCGAGAATGATAAGTGCGTAGGGGAACTAGGGACGCTGGAAACTAGAGACACTGGGAACTAGAGACCTAAAAAACCAGAGAACCCAACGTATCACTATAGAACTAGCAATTTCCCAAAAATTCTCCAAACCCTCCCTTATCTTCCAAAAAACCTACAACCTGTATACCTACAACCGAAGCTCCTAACACAAAAATAAATCTTAATCACATAAAATTAATCATGTGAACGTATACACAATAAGTTTCCTCGGCAAAATTCGATGAGTTTGACCTCGCCACAGTGCAAAGGAGTGAAAGTAGAAATTGCGGTAGGCTAGGGGGGCATGGAAGGGTGGGTCTGAAAATAAAAAAACATAGATAAAAGAAGCTGGCTGCACGTTGGGCTAACAAGACTCAGGACTCGGGGGCTATTATCATAATTGTGGGCTGCAGGCAGCGGCTGTGCCCACAAACCAGAATGCCTCTTGTCTCATCTACCTTGTTCTTCTCTTTCTTCTTTCTTACACCCTTCTTCCTCATCTCCTTCATCCTTTTTACTCGAATCCGAGTACTCCCGCAGTTTGCGCGGATCTTCGCTGCTCTTTTGCACGTGCTAGAGACAAATGGACCGGCCCTTAAAACATTTAACTTTCACGCTGTTTATTGATAAGCTACTGCTGCATTTTTATGGACGGATTTTAGTGTCGCTTAATCAGGTTACGGAAACTTATCTTTGATGTTCTTAATGACTTTGTTTTTAGCTTCAACGACGTGATTTATGTTTCGGGGTTCGTGTATAAAGGAGGTGTTATGAATTTGTACTTTATCTCTTATCTGATTGGAGGGGAATTTTTTTTTAAATTGTAACGAAACTTTTTTGTTGATATAACCTCTTCATAAATTAATAGAAGGGTTGAATATTTTAATAATAAGTTAATATTTTATACTTTAAATTCGATTTATGAATTCAACGTGAAATTTATTTTTTAAATATTATAACGAGGAGCTATTACTTCCTTTGATATTATTTATGTATCTAAGTTTTTAATTAAATGAAAGGTTACGAGTGTTACAATTTTAAACATGAATTATTAATTTGTAGGAAAAATATGTTTTAAAAAATTGTAACAAGATGTAATTTATATTATTAACATACACATGTGTACTTTTAGGTAAATGTTACATGAACATCATTTCTTGAGAAATATCGAGAATGATAAGTGCGTAGCACTGTCTGTACGGAAACAATACCGAAATGCCTACCGACTGTCATTCCATTTTCTTTTGTTCTTCACTTCCCCTAATTATATGGCAAGCTTTAAGATCCTTCCAAGCCTTGTATCTATATTTTGGTTTTCATCTTAAGAAGTGGCGAAGTACAAGTTCGACGTCCGGTATCATTGCAAACTGTCTTTTTAATCGAACCTTTCAAATATTTCACTGAGTGTACTCAGAATATTTATTCTATTTTTAATTAAGACAATTAATACAATTTTTGTACATTTCTAAATTTTTAGGTTTTTGGATTTTGTAGATTTTATAGATTTTTAGATTTTTAGATTTTTAGATTTTGTAGATTTTGTAGATTTTTAGATTTTTAGATTTTTAGATTTTTAGATTTTTAGATTTTTAGATTTTTAGATTTTTAGATTTTTAGATTTTTAGATTTTTAGATTTCTAGATTTCTAAATTTCTAAATTTTTAAGTTCCAAGATCCCTCAACTTTTTACTCTACAATTTTCCAAATTTTTCAAATGTCTCAAATCTTTCAAACTTCTTAAATTTCTCAAATTTAGCCAGGTATCCTTTCTCAAATTTCACCAAGTACCAAAATGTACAAACGCACCCCCAAAACTCAATAACTTATAAACCCAATCAAGTTCAGCAGCTCCCATTTTCCCTAAGTATCCGAACGCTGCTCGTCAATGTACAAACACGATTCCCATTAACTTTTTCACTGGCTATCATACTTCTCCTTGCATCCTTTAAGTGGCGTAGCTAAATTGTTTCTTTTTCTCTGTCTGCCGTTTTTTTTTACATTTCTTCTCGTGTGTTCTTTCAACGAGAGATGCCAGGGGCGTGTATGTTTGTTTAGCCTCGGTGTACCCTGTTATTAGGGGCCGGTGCTGCTCGAAAACCGAGGGGCCCACGAGGATATCTGGGCCCGTCTCGACGATCGCGTCCTCCATCTTCCTTCGTCCGCAGAATCCTCTTCTTCTTCTTCCCACCGTCTCTCTTATATTCCGTGCGTAAAAGCAGTCCCGTATAAAAAGGATAGTCGGATAAATTTGAAAGTGGAAGGGTGACTCCCAGACCTTTGTTTACCTACCTAGATTCTGATTTAGATTTCGCCGCGTTTTAATTTATCGCCGACCATCGTGCCGATTACCTATTCCCGAACACGAGAAACGATTCTCGTTACCGTTTATGAACTAACGTGCTAATAGAAAGATACACGCCTTCCGAAATCATCAGAAACTTCGCACCTAACTACTTCCCACATTGCGCAACGGATATTACAGTTTACGTTGCTGGAACTATTTTTGGTCCGAAAATATTCTTCGAGGACGGACGTTGACTACAGTTGTATTTTTTACAGTTGTTAATATTCGGTAGCTGTACTTATGTATTTGTTATCATATATAAGGGATGATGTTACTTATTTTACAAAAGTATGAATTATTTTTGTTAAAACAATTTACTGTACTATAGTATATAGACTATAACTATGTTGCACTCTAACAATGTTACACCTTAACATTTCATAAAAGATAAAGAATTTACAATATAGAAAATATAGAAGATAATTTTAATATTTTGTTGCAGACCTTTTATAATGGATCATAAACATCTAGATAAATTGTCAAATATTTTATGTAAAATAATTAGTTCAATCAGACATCATAGCAAACAGAACTTGACTTTCCATGAATGTTTCCTTATTCTGTAAAATATTAAAATATTTAAATTAACTCTTCCGTAAAATAACAAAAGCGAAACTAGTAGTGTCCGAATATTTTTGTAGCCATAACAGATATTTATGCATCCCCATTTCATAGGGCGACTCGTGGGATCCGACTCTTCTCCTCGGTGCACAATGGATCGCTGATGACATATCCCGCAGATTCAATGGCGTCTGTTTGCACAGACGACACGTGACGAAGTGTTAGAAACCGAACTAACACGCGACCTCACCCTAACGCGGTATTATTTGTTTATCTCGACGGTATTGTGAGCCGTGTTTTCAATAATTTACGTTCGATTTGGTTCGTGGACATCCGTTTCCTGGGTTTTTCGACCGGGAGACGATTATTCGAGCGTGTCTGCTGGGAAATTTTCATCGGGGACTGTGTTTGCACTTTCGTATTAATATTTATTAACGTATGGTCGCGTGGTGGATATATGCGTGATTAATTTCAATTTGACACGCGGGATGTTGTATTGATATGGGTTATGTGTAATGAAACGTGTCATTGTGAACGTAAAACACGTATCATTGTAATAGTAAAATATGTTTGAATGTAGTTGTAAGATACGTATTATCTGGGTACATACATAGAATATGTTACTTTACTGGAGCTTTAGAGTTACAGACCGTTCTTTCTTTTTAATAAAATATTTTATATTGAAAGATGGTGGGTAGATGATGTTAGAAGATAAAAATTTTGTAATTATTTATTGTATGAATTTTTTTAGTAACAAAAAGAAATAGAGAACACAGCTGTGTCTTCAATAAATAACAACCTCGACAACATCCTCAGTAAACAACAATAATATTCAATGTGTATTTCAGCAATTTTATGTAAAAATATTCAAACTATAACGACATTGATAAGAACTAACATTTAAATGTAAAAGAATTAATTTGCAAAGTAAAAGATATTCTGAAAGTCTTCTGTTCTTCGAACTTCATATTTGGGTGTTGTTTGGAAACTGGACAACTATCGCCACCTCGCGGTCGAATAAACATATATGGAAATGAAGAAATGCATTTTTTTTTTAAATAAAGCATTTTTACATTTTGTTGATGCTTGTAAATTAATCCATGATCACTATATGGTTTTATAACAAGCTAGAAACTTTTTATTTGAAAATTGAGAGAAGTGCATTTTGTGGACATCAGAAGCCATCTAGTGGTGCACTGTGTGAACATACTACTAACTCCAAAATAGAGTAAAAGTCACTAATTTAAAAAAAAATACGATTTTCTGTGGTTTGCATGTTTCACCATCAGATGGTGCAAGTTCCATCATTTCCACAAATTTTAGGTCCAAATCTAAATTTGAAAAAATACTAAAACAATTACTAAAATAATTTCCTGTTGAAAACATCTTTATTGAACTAAAAGAAATGCCATGTTTGGGACAATATATTTTATTAACACAATATTAAGCTCATATTTTACATATGCCTCAATAAATAACTATTTATTATCACACATTTCCTTCCTCAGTTTGTTATAATTTGTCTAATAAATAAATAAATAAATACCACTCAATAAATACAACAATACACCTCAAAGTGCAACAATAACCACATAATTTCACAAATTTAACATTCAACCGATCTTTGCATATAAATAAAAAGTTATTTCACGAAAGCTGTATATTAACTATAGCTTAACGAACGAAATATAATTAAGAAAATTGCCCATAAATTAAACTCTACTTAGTCAACTTTATCGATGGACGGTAAAGCAAACTGTCACATTAATGTACACACAAACTGGAAAAACACGATTAAATATTCGTTATGTAAATTGAGCACGTTCATTACAATTTACAATCTTTTAAAACATCGTTACTTGTTTTACAACAATAATCTGTTTGTTTAAACAGGAGGTATCATCTTGATAGCTCGTACGATGCAAGTTCTATTAGTTTCCTTTTGGGCAATTCTTTTGATCGGTACGAATAAAGTATGCTCTACTTATATTATTCTTGTCTAATACTTGATAAGCTTTTTCGAGGACGGGAACTGGTGGTTTTGGTTCTCTCGTTAGAATCCACGCATTTCGTACGCTGAAACAGTCAAGATTTAAGTGGTGAGGACCGCCATTTTGTGGAGGAGCACGCGGGAGATTCAAACGTGTAAAATTGTACAAGAGAGTTGTACTCAATTTTGTTAGTAAAAATCTAAATAATAAATATGGTCAAAACATTAATGATATACTTTCATGTCTATCTAATAATATACATTTATATTTATATATTTAACTTCATATTTATATATGTTACTGCAACATTAAGTCCTTCATTAATAGTACTATATTTCAGCAGTTATTATTATTAATAATATTATAAAATATAACTTGTAGTTACAGATAATATAAATTGTGAAATTATATTTGTTAAAAATAGAACTACTGCTTAATGATATTTTTAATCATTGCAAAGTGTATATTTACCTGAATACACCAAAGTTTGTACAACTCCATACTACCGAATAAGTTTCATAGTCGGTGTCCAGTACCCAATAAGGTGCATCCAATGGAAGAGGTATGGACGGAAACGTAACCACTAATTTAGGATCGTCACTTTTGCCAATCGGTTTTGCAGTTCCTTCTATACTCGAAGAAACACCGGTTCTAAACAAACAGAGATATTATTCCACTGTGATTAACTGACTTCCTGTAAATATTTATCTGCACGTTGTTACATAATGAGCGTAATTATTACTTCCCTGTGTGCGTAGTTAAAAATACATTCTTAATCAAATAATAGAAATAACATACAAGTCTTCAAAATGCAAAAACGAAAGTACAGGTACAAAAATACAGTTAACAAATATTTTTAGAATATAACCTTTTTAAATTTAAAGCAATATCTCTAAAAGTTCTTCAGAAGTTAAAAATATGAATTAATATACTTACATCGCAGAAATTTGTTTGTTCAAAATACCTATGGTACCATTATCGTTCATAGTGTAAGTAGCAGTCACGCATTTCCCGCCAAATTCAAACACAGCGAAATACCTTTCGACCTCGTACCATTTTCCCGCATACTAGAACATAATGAAGAGTTTCATTTATTCAAATGACACAGATAGAAATTCCGTCCGCGTCTCGAAGAGAGTTTGAACTTCCGTTGAACTTGAATACTTTACATATCTCTTATTACAACGTATGTATGTATATCAAATGTTGTATCGGGGACAACTTTCTAAATACAGGTTGCATTCTTAAGTAAGCCAATCTGGTAAATACCGGTGATCTATTCCAATTTCTAATGCTCATTGTTGAGGATAAACTTAATGAAGTACGTACTTTGTTTACGTCGAAGTTTGGCATCGTTTCCACGTTGGGGCACACGCCTAAAAATGGCACCTGCGCCATTGTCACGCTTACCATCATTAAAATTAACGATAGATACAACATCTTGTCTGTGAATAAAATAAAATTATTAAATTTTAGGAAAATTATTTACATTGTCAAATTATGAAAATTTTTATATTGTTAAGTTTTTACTGCTTTTTAACATTTTTTACTGTATTTCAATTCTACTGCTGCTACGTTAAATAAATTATTAAATTTTAGCAAAATTGTTTACATTGTCAAATTGAGGAAATTTTTTTATAGTTAAATTTTTATTATTTTCTGTCATTTTTTATTGTATTTTAATTCTACTGCTGCTACATTGTATTGTATTTCTGTTATAATTATATTTCTTTCTACTTTTAAAAATATTACTAATAATTATAAAAATATAAAAAATTGTAATTTAATAATTTGTTGATGTACGACATTTTACTAACAAATTTATAGTATAATTTTTACTAATAAAACAATATATGTAATAATATAAATAATATACATATAATGTTATGTTGTTACCCCTTCATTTAAAGATTCTTTTACCGTGTTTAGAGTTAGAGTAGCATAAACATGTTTAGTATTTAATCCCGCAAGAATACAAATGAAAGTATACAAACTTACAGCACGTGTTTGAATACATAAGAGTTGCAAATGTTTTTCTGAGAAAAACCACGATCGTTGAATGAACCAAGCCACGTTCGAGAGAACAGTTACCTTCGACGTCCAAGCTTTTAATAATCTGGATAAATTGTTCGGATAAATTTATACCGTTATTCGCGTGTTTTATCGCAATATGTTAAATATTCATAAGTGTATTTAGCAATTATTTCGACTTGCACGTTCACTTTAGTAGTTTCAGGAACATTTTGCGGGACAGTACATTAGATCATTATAACGCGAGGACAAATGACGCTTTACTTTCTGAGTTATTAGGTGGTTTGAGGTTAGGTTAGGACCATTAACTAAATTTATTGTCATTTTGTTTTGTTTATTGATTATACTAGATTTCTTATGTTATGTTAGGTGAGTTGTGGAATTAGTTTTATTTTGTATTACAAAAATTATCAAAGTGTTATTTCACTTTTTATTTTAATTATAGAAATTATTATAGGAAGAGTGTAATAATATTAGAATTTTGTTAGAATATTATTATTATAATAACATACAATATCAATTTGCTGTCCATCAACAATTTTTATTTCAAGTATGTTAAATAAATATAAAAAAAATTAGAATGACATTTTCACTAATTTTATACTTCATCACGATTCATTTATGAACAAATAAAATAAGTCACAAATAATATATACATTCGTCAAACAAATTTAAGTAAATTTTTTAAAAGTGAATAAAAATATTTTTTATAATTAGAAACCTAATTTTTTCTAACATCTTTCCAAACTCAAAATTAAAATATTGCTTTTCTTGTCTCCAAAAAAATTTAATATTACACCTTACAACATAAAATATATCGTATTGAAATATTTAAAAAAAAACTTGAACCACCTTGCAAAACAGGTTATCGTTGTTTACCAAAGTGCAACCAATTTTGCAAGATCACCGTTATAGTCATAGCTAATGTTAAAATAATTATAGCCTTACAAGGAATATGATAAGTGTGAAACATAAAAAATAGAGGCAAAATTAACAGTAATGAGAAATAAAACGTTGTTTCAAATACGTGGACATGGTCGAACTACGTAACACATTCGTTGTTTGTTCCAGTTAGAACATTATGAAAAAGATGATACACAGATATGTATTTATTAAAACTTCCTGTAAAAAACCCATTGATTACTGTAATTGAGAACACTGTGTAACACAAAAGTCAGTTCTTTTGTTAATAATAATTCTGTGTTTCTTATCTTCACCTGCCTATTGCTATTACAAAATTAATTTCATTAAAACTTTATTTTTAAACACATATGACAAGAAAAAAAATATAAGTAAAAGACTAATAATGTTGTCATTTAAAAGTATTAGTATTATAATTTTTTAAAATTACTTAAATTTACATAGTTACATATGTACAAAATTAAAGATTGTATTTACATATTCATATGACACTGACATTTAACTGTGTCAGTACCAAAAGATTAGCAAATCGTTACATTTTCACTCATAAAATATTAAAAATTTAATTAGAGGTAATTTATGGAATTGATTGGCAGTGACCTTCATAATAAACCATGCATTCAAACAACATTGACAACTCCTACAAGATGGCAAATTTTAATTTAGAAGATTGGGAATTTGGAAGATTGGGAATTTGGGGGATTGGGAATTTGGAAGATTGGGAATTTGGGAGACTAGGAATTTGGGGGATTAGGAATTTGGAAGATTGGGAATTTGGAAGACTGGGAATTTGGGGGACTAGGAATTTGGAAGATTGGGATTTTGGGGGACTAGGAATTTGGAAGACTGGGAATTTGGGGGATTAGGAATTTGGAAGATTGGGAATTTGGGGGATTAGGAATTTGGAAGATTAGGAATTTGGGGGATTGGAAATTTGGAAGATTGGGAATTTGGAAGATTGGGAATTTGGGGGACTAGGAATTTGGAAGATTGGGAATTTGGGGGATTAGGAATTTGGAAGATTGGGAATTTGGGGGATTGGGAATTTGGAAGATTGAGAATTTGGAAGATTGGAAATTTGGAAGATTGGGAATTTGGAAAATTGGGAATTTGGGTGACTAGGAATTTGAAGGATTGGGAATTTGGGGGACTAGGAATTTGGAAGATTGAGAATTTGGAAGATTGGGAATTTGGAAAATTGGGAATTTGGGGGACTAGGAATTCGGGAGATTAGGAATTTGGAATATTGGGAATCTTGAGGACTAGGAAATTGAGAATCTAGGAATTTGGTTAATTACTCCCCAAATCTTGAGAATGCAGAAAATCCAGAAACTTGAAAATTACAAAATTTGCAAAACCCAAAAATATAAAGATCTGCCAATCCAAAAAAATAAATTTAAACACCTAAAATTTTGAAAGCTAAATCTCCAATGACGCAGAAGTGCATAAAAATAATAAATATTACAAAACCAAAAAATAAAATAACAGTGATCGGCGTCAGAAGATAGTAATCCTTGTCACGATCATGATGTATGCGATGCATCGTTCGATACCACGACCTTTAGTCGCTTTGAATGAAAATCACGAAGGTCACGGTCTGAACTTGATTCGGAATGGAAACACGTACCCGATAGTGATTGCCAGTCGTGGAACGTTGAAAGTTGACAGGTCAGAGAATTCGATCAGTGTTGACAGTTACACTTCTCACAGGATCAAGTGTTCGTTGTTGACTGGTCTTCCTGTTCTTTGCACGTCCCGTTCACGCAGACAGACTCGCGAACGCTGACTGGATGCATTCGAAAGATTTCTGTCAGTTAGTGGGTCAATAACGGTACGTCCAAGGTTCAAGAAACCCGGGTCTGCGATTCGGTTTTACCGATCGACTTCTTCACGATCTTCGCTCGTCTAATTTTGACCAGATTTCGACCGGTTTTTGTACTTTTCACCGGAACGTCTTTAACCTTGTTATACTTCATTTGCACCTTCATTTTAATTGCAGATTTGTGGTGGAATGATGGATGGATTTATTATGGAAGTGTGTGAGTGACATTTGCTATACGTGCTCTTCTATTTTGATATGATAATTTTGTTTACTTTAGTTTCGTAATTTATGTGATTTTGATGCTTGCGGATTTTTTAGGTTCTATAAAAAAATTTATAGAGGAAGTTTACACTTTTTGAGGTGCTTTCAATTTTTACAAATTTTTTCAAACTTGTTCAATTTTCAAATTTTCAATTTTTTGTGTAACAATTTTGAATTTGTATTTTTTGTAAAATTTATACAAATTTTGTATACAATTTTTATAAAATTTGTACTTGTTTTGTATACAATTTTTATAAAATTTGTACTTGTTTTGTATACAATTTTTATAAAATTTGTACTTGTTTTTATGAACTATAATACATGTCTGTATACATAGAACATACAAAGTATATGCGTTTATATATTTTTTTGTTTATGTGAATTTTTACAGTGTTCTCTGTATAAAAAAATATTATGTAATGTTAAAAATGAACAGTTTACAAAATATTTGAAATTTATGAATTTCAAAAAGTAATTTTTTATTAATCTTTCAAAAAATAATTTTTTAAAGAACCTTGTTAGGTTTTGTTTGCCTCTAACATATTTTTGTGTGAAATATTTGCAAGTATACAATAAAATATGCTAATGTCTAGATAATGGACGGAACTGTAATTTTCTATAAAAATAACAAACAATTGTGTGAATCATTTATTTATTTATAAGTGCAAGGTCGTGGATAAAAATGCAGGTGTATATTTTTTTTTAGAGAACTCATATTTGTGTTTTGTGGATCGATTTCTTAAAAATATTTTGTACTACATAGACTTTTTAATGTAATCTTGAAAAAACTTAATAGTTTGCGACATTAAAATTTTAAGTTTCTAATATCACATCTTTTAATTTTGGATTCGTAATAACTCATGAAACTTGTAACTTTATATTAAAACAAAAGTGTACATTATTAATTATTAATTTACTTAAATATCACCTACGGAAACAATAAAAACACAGAAATATTCGCATCATTTTATGTAACAATTTATTGCATTTTTTTTTACATTTGTACATAAGCTAAAACAAGCACCCCCACAAACCATGAAAATGAGAATTCTCGAAGGTATGAAGAATAATGAGAACGAAATACTCGGGCGAGACTGGTTTCAACCGCTACGAGCCCGAGTACAAAAAATTTCATAAATGAGATGAATTGAAAATTTCTAGTTTCAAGCAGTCTTCACGGCGTCTTTGACCTTTTCATCCGCCTTCTCCTTTGTAGCCTCTTTCTCTTCTTTCTTTTCTAAATTTTCCTTTGCGGATTCGGCTACTTCTACGATTCGTTCAGGAACGCTCACTAATTTTTTTTGAGCTGTTTCAACTTGAGGTTTGCTGGATTCGTCGCTTTGGGTGTCGATGATTATTTGTGGGGCGTCGGGTACAATGGCGGATCGGACATTTTCGTTTGTCTCTGGTGATTCTTGAGGTTTGGTTTCGGTAGAGGGCGCTGCTGCGGCTGGCACAGGTTTCACTGGGGTTTCTAGGAAGACGCAGTCTTCTTGGTCCGTTTTTACGAAGAAGGTTTTTGAGATTTTGTATTTGTCCAGCACAGCGTAAGCCTGTTAACAAAATAAGAATAATATGATAATTGTAGTATGTCAAATAAAAATGCGAGAAGGAAAAATGATTGAATAGCTTGAAAGTTGTTGATAAATGTATAAAAATACGACTGTAAATATTTTGTAAATATACACAGTTATTTTTGGTCACAAGTCTCTGGATTAGATATCTAATGTCTTCAAGTTTATAAGTTGTCAATTGCAACAATAAATGTATAGTAATTAATAGAAATTTTGTTTTGTCTAATGATTGTTGACAATTATAATTCTTTACAGCAGTAAACACAACTGTATATTATATTGTTAATTGTATGTTCCTTGTTAATTCCAACTAATTACCATACAGATAATTTTAATGTCACATACGTAATTTCAAATCGTCACAAAGACAAGTTTAATAAATGGTCAAATAAATTTTGCTGGAAATTATCATATAGATAAGTTTAATAAATGGGGATATGTATCATTTCAATAAATTATCATATAGATTAGCTTGACAAATGGTCAAACAGATCATTTCTACAAATTATCATATATACAAGTTTAGCAAATTATCAAATAGATAATTTTCACAATTATCATATTACATATTTTAACAGAACCTAATTCTTTTTTAACAAAGTTAATAATTATTGAAGTGCATATTTATTTAATAACTAATATTACCATCAGTATCATATTAATTATTGGATAGCCTATACATGTTATACACAAATTGAAGTAAGATTTGTATCTATAAAATTTATACAAAATCTTTTGTTCAAATAAAAAATAATAATTGTTTTTGAGTCCAAATTAATGCTATTATTACAACATATGATACGATATGATACACATGTCATTAATACAAAAAATGTCAGTGTCCACATATATGGCCACTGTGTCGAATTCAAAATAAAAATATCCACATATGTGTTGAATTTAGGAAATGAATATAGAACGTACCTTTTGCAAGACAGTGCCTGGAGCCAATCTCTCTCTGGTCATGACCCAGGCATTTTGCGTGTGGAATGGACCAATACCGGAGCAGCTCCACAAAACAGCGTAAGTGTCATAGTCCGTTTCGAGAACAGAGTACTTAGTTTCAGGTGTCAGTGGTATCGTGTATTTGACGGTCAGCTTTCCTTCCTCGGCTTTCGAAGCAGCTTTCTTTATTTCGCCCTCTAAGACTCTCTTGATTCCGGTGCTAATGAAGTTTTTTATTAAAGTAACTTTTAATGAAATCTATTTCAGAGGTAGTTATTTTGATGATATTATATTAAATTTTTGTTAAGAATACTTACAATCTATTTGTGACTTGATTGCTGACTTTGAATTTGCCATCAGGACCTACTGTATAGTTTGTCATGACACAACGCGATACCACTTCTGTCAGTTGGAAATATCTTTCAGCCTCGTACCAGACACCCAAGAACTGTAACAAGATTAATTATGGTTTTAATAATTTAGTATAGTTACTTCTCTTGAAGTTAACAATTTACAGAATACATCTTAAGTGAAGTAGTTAAAAGTGATGTTATTAATTCTAATTATAACTACAACTACCTCAAACAATTTTGTGAACAACTACAATTACAAGTATCACAACAATCACAATTACAACCACAAACAATTATATCAGCAACTATCACTACAACTATCGCAAACAATTATATTAACAACTACAATTACAACTACCACAAAGTACATCGACTACAATTACATTTACCACAATTAACAGCAACATAACAAACCACAAAAGCATCAAATAACCACAAAGACATGAACAACCCACAAATCACCACGAGCACAAAACCATCATTAAACTCCAACAATCACACCAATAAAACACTAATAAAACCCCAATAATGACAGCCATCAAATAACAAAGAAGTCTCGAAAATTCATATAAAACAAAATATATTTACCTTATTCATGTCGAAGTTAGCCATGGGCACATAATCCGGACAGAAACCCAGACTGGGTATCTGTGCGGTGGCGAGGCCCAAAGCTGAAAGTATGAAAACAATCTTCCCGATCATGTCTACCGTTGATCTGACGTGAGCAAGGTTCGAAGCTGATGCTTTATATACATTACACAGGGAGTGCAGGAGCGTTGACCGGCCACAACCCCCCTCTGTTTTACCAACACGTGAATATCCTTACGGTACTCTTCAGAATCTGGTCACCAGACGATGGTCAATGTGGCTACCGACCTGCGCCGGCAAAGAAATTCAGACGAGATGGGTCTGATCGACGACCCGTCTAGAAACGGGCAACCAGCATTATGCAATTTCTTAACAACGGTACTTTCAACCGAACCAAGACAAATCCTCGTTTGCTCGGACCGATTGGTGTCAATCAATTTGACGGGACGCCAAGCCCTCGGACTGACGCCATTGTAACGGATATGTGATTCGACGATTCTTTGGTTATGATAGGCATCTTTTTAGAGGGGGTTTTTTATTTTAGAAATTTGGGAGGTGGATTTTTAGTTGGGGTATAGTGATATTTGGGGAGGTAAGGAGTTGGGAGGTTTGCGAGGTTGGGAGTTTAGGAATTTGGAAGTTTGAGAGTTTGAGAGATTGAGAGATTTAGGTTCGGAATTTTGGATGAAGTGAGATTTGGGGATTTTGGGATTTTGGGAACTGAAGAATTTGGGTGAATTGGATATTTGGAATTTTGAGAGATTTGGGAAGGTTTGATATTTTGGGTACTTGGATGCGATAAGATTTGGGGATTTTGGGAACTTAAGGATTTAGGTGAATTAGAGTTTCGGAATTTGGGAGATTTGAGAAGGTTTGGAATTTTCAGTGATTGGATGTAGTGAGATTTGGGGTTTTAAGGGTTTGGGACACTTGCAAGTTTGGGACTTTGAGAATTTGGGGAATTTGGATGTTTGAGAGTTTGAGAGATTGAGAGATTTAGGTTTGGAATTTTGGGTATTTGTATGAAGTGAGATTTGGGGATTTTGGGAACTTAAGGATTTGGATGAATTGGAATTTGGGAGTTTGGGGGATTTGAGAAGATTTGTAATCTTGGGTGATTGGATGTGGTGAGATTTGGGGGCTTGAGGATTTGGGAACTTGCAAGTTTGGGACTTTGAGAATTTGGGGAATTTGGAAGTTTGAGATTTGAGAGTTTGAGAGATTTAGGTTCGGAATCTTAGGTGTTGGATGTAACGAGATTTGGGGATTTTGAGAACTCCAGGATTTGAGTGAATTGGAATTTGGGAATTTGGGAGATTTGAGAAGGTTAGGAATCTTGAGCGTTTGGATTTAGTGAGATTTGGGATTTCAAGGGTTTGGGACACTTGCAAGTTTGGGACTTTAAAAATTTGGTTGAATTTGAACGACCCTCGTATTTGAATAGGTTTAAAATAAAATAAAAATAGAGCGCCCTGAAAAGTTTGGTAACTAGAGTGTTCAAATAACTAATAAGTCCTCTAATCTCAAGATTTGAACAACTTAAAAATTTAGGAATTTATCAACTCATAATCTAAAACTTTGACAAATCCAAAAGTTTAAACATCTGAAAATGTATCTCATAAGCGTATACTTAGAATAAAAATTCAGAATAAAAATTTTAACTTGAAGTAAAGGTCCGAATCTCAAGCATCGAATATCAGAAGCATAGAGATCAATTCTCCCTGCATCCAAGATGGAATGCACGATTGTGAAACGTGCACCTCTGATGTTCCTCTTCCTGCAGTGATTCGTGAAGCCGGTTTCGACGACCTCGACCTTAAACCTTGCATTTGTGTACAACAAATGGAGCGAGTATATGTCAAATGATACCCGAGTTCTCCTACATGAAACAAAGTTAGAGCCGTTTTAATGTAAATCACGTTGCAATTATGCAATCGACACTGTCAACCCATGGACGTTTAGCATATACCACCATCGAGAAACCATGGGTCTGCCGGTAACGGGTTTCTCGACGAGCTTTCTTTTTGTATGAAATCCCTGGTCATTGAACCGTTAGTTTCGAGTAGATATTCTTCTAACCATACTCTAATAAGTCCATAAACCGTGAACCGTTATAGTGTCACCTTACAGCGACATTATTAATGGTAGTTTCCATCTATTTAATTTCTTTTTTTTTTCTTGTCATTCTTTATTCTTATATACTTTCTTAGATTTTTATTTCGTGGAAGTCTTTATTTTTGTTTAGGGTGTTGGTGAAAGGTTTTGTTCATTTGTGGATTTTTGTATGATAGAAATTGTACTTGGAACTTTGACATTTTTAGAATTTTAGGATTTGGAAATTTTTTAGAATTTTAATTTTAAGATTTGGAACTTTGGAACGTTAGAATATTTTAACTTTGAGACCTTGGTATTTGTGATCTTGGATCTTCAAAATTATCAAAAGGTTTTAACTTTGAAATTTCAAGATTTCTCTGTTCTTGATATTTGGAAACTTTCCCCCCACAAAATTTGTAAACTTACCATAATCATTTCCCTAAAAAAATTTCCCTTCTCCTACAAAATTACAATTCTCCAAGGAAAGGATAAGGAAAGTAATTTCCAATCACTCTATATTCCATAGATTTCTCAACTGAATTAATTTATTTCTTGTAAACCTATGAACACTAAGAAAGCACGCGGAAAACGCATTCCGCTCGGAAGATGCTTAACTCTACGCAGCTCGTGCCAGACGCCCAGCAGGACCCCTTCAAAATTCTCCAAAAGCCCACATATCCCTCCACGAATTTCAAAATTTCCACAGAAAGAAAATTACCGTCTATAAAAACTGTCCAAAAAATATATTCTATTCTTTGTTTGAAACGTTTCGAAAAATATTCCCGATTCAGTGTTCCTCGCAGGACATCTGGCGGCGAGCTTGTGTAATTTTACACGATAAACTAATTAACGTTAAAATTAATCTATATACATAAATCCTAGTGCGCTTACGTCTCGAGAAGGGGGGACGAGGGGGTCGGAGACAGTTGTAGGAGAAAAAGGATCGGGATAGAAACGACGAAAAGTTAGTTGGTAAAAATTTCTTTAGGCGGCTCGCAGAAAAAAAAGAAGAATCCATGATGCTTGTTCCTCTCGCGATCGAAAGGGTTTATCTCTCTTTTCTTTTTTTTATTGAAAGAGCCACGAGTCGCGCTCGTGCCATGCGCCGAGGCGTTGCACGCTAAACAATAATTACTTTATCCTTATTATCATTTAGTATCACATTGCGTTCACTGTTTTGTGCTGGCCGTTTATGCCTGGCTTAATGAGAGCGCATACCACCCCTCTAACCTCTGCTTTAGCCCTTTTTTTATTTTGGTTCTATCAATTTTATTATTGTAACATTTTTTCATTTATTTGGAATGCACTTGTTGTTAACGCGTTGACTGCCGTGTACATTTGCTAATTTAATTGTGAATTTTAGGGGTAACTTTATTATCTGTGGATTTTCCATTATTTCAAGCTTGAAGTTTCAAGAAGATTTCAAGTTTACATTGAGAATTTAAGAATTTCTGATTATATGTTTGTTCAGATAAATTTTTGATGTAGTAATTTTGAGATCAAGTGCTTTTAAATTTTTTAATTTGCAAAACTCAAATCTTCGTAATTAGTGTTCATAAATTTCTAAATCTCAAATTTGTGCATCTCTAATTTCTTAACATAAAAATTTTTAATTTAATGATTTACAAGTTGAAAATGTACAAATAGTTCAACTTGTACAAGTTTCGAAACTTCAATTTTAAAGTGCAAAAATTTATTTAAATATCTGAAATTTCACATATGTGAAGTTCTAAAAAACACATGTAAAATCTATAATCATTGCAAACTAATTAAAAATTCTTTGGCAATCACACATTGCATGACGCTTATCACAATTTTCTCACGTGGCCATATACCGAGACTATCACATAAAAGCGCCACGATAAACATTGCATATAAACATGATCCACATGGTCTTATTCACATGACTCTCCCACATGTTCATATACTCCAATCAACTCAATAAAATACAAATTTTAACCATCACGACAATCAACGTGTCAAAAAATAACCCAACTGACAAATTTGACAAATTCCAATAAAAATTTGTACCGCTGTCTAAAACTTTTTGGAACCAAAGAGAGGTCGAGGCCCTTCTTCAAGGCACCTTAAGTAATAATACCTATCTAACCAAGAAGAGAAGAAAAAAAAGAAAAAAAATAAATGACGTCCTGCGTCAATGAGACAGAAATCAGAGAAACAAAAGCTGCTACTTACAACGATCTAGATCCTACCTAATCTTGGATTAATTCGAGTGATATTTGAAACCTTCTACGTGAATTAATTAACGTTTCCTTTCAATTCCTAAAGCGAGCTCGTATCGTCATCTTAATTACGTGTACGTGTACCTTAAGCCTATGAACACATGAAATCACTGCCCAATCGACCAATTTGGACCCATTTGACAAGGCACTCGTGTGGCTGAGATACCGAGAACGTTGTTTCGATGGTACAAAACAGAAAAAAATACACCGTGACGTAGGAGGGTAGAGAAAACGGGGAAGGGAGAGGACTCTGGCGATATGTGAAGTGGAAGACGAGGATTGTACATACATGGAAGAACATTAGCAACGTTTTATTCTATTTGGTCGGCAAAAGCTTGAGCCGTTTTGCGAGAAAAAAATTCTATTATTGTCGCTTCTTCCACAATTGTGTCCCGCCGATAATGTTCCTCTTCGATTGGGTAAGGGAATCCGCGTCACGATACAGCGAGGTCGCAAACTCTTCGAGGTACAGCGCCGTCTAGGGAAAGTTTACGAAACCTCGGCCAGGATCGTATCGCGAAAAGTTCTGTACAGCGTAGAGACCCTGAAGTAGAACGCATACGGTCCTGGGAGTTTCAAGAGTTTAATTTACGACTGCGCTATATCGTCGCGAGGACTATATTTCACGTAGGATCAGACCTTTCGTGCGACTGTGAGCTCACAAGACTTAATTTATAAACTTATGATTTTGTAAATTTAAAAAGTTAAATTTGTAAAATTCTGAATTTGAGAATTTTAATATTCTTGGGTGTTTAATTTGAAATTTTAAAAATTCGTGAAGGTCCGATCCTAACCGAAAGGGGTACAGTAGACTCTCGTTATATCGCCTTCATGGCTTGCGTCACCATAGGAATCTACATATCACCAAATATATTGCAAGAATTTTCCGATACAATCCAATCGGCGGCAATATAGCGGGAGTCCACGAATGATAACGCCAACGTCTTTTCTCAAGACCTTCCATAAGCTAATTTCGAGAGTGAATTTGTTCGAGGCGATTGACGGGCAGGACACCTAAACATCTACCTAAGACAGAAATCGGTGGAAAATCGGTTGGTCCCTTTTGCAAAAAAAAAGAAGTGTAAAATAAATAAATTCTTATCCGTCCGCTTGTTTCTACTACTAAAAACGTTAACGTTATTTACACGTGAGATTGCTTGCGCGCGCTGAGGTAAACGAGAGACGTCTTCGCTGGCTGTCACCTGACGCGAACGAAAAAAGCGTTCGAAAGCTTCTTCGTCTTCCTTCTTCAAGTAAGTAAAGACGTAACGAGAGTTCGTTCCGCTAAAAATTCGACGATAATTGACTCTCACCCATTCTCGTTTCGACTTTCTTAACGCTTCGTAATGGAGACCGGCACAACATACCCGATCGTCGGGGATACGTTATTTGGTCATAGTTACTGGTCATCGCTTATAATATTAGACTGTTGCTTGGTCTTCATACATTTTTCGAACTAGATAGTCACAACAGTGACGATTTTATATAAAACAAGGCTCTCCCGGTGCTGTTCATGCCGTTTCCCGAAGAAACCGATGTTCTTCAACGCTTCGTACTTTGCCTAGAAATTAGCGTGCTTCATGTAAATTCGTTTAAAAAACCACCTAACACGCGTTCGTGCACGTTCGAACATTGTCACCAGACGTTTTCGAGCTGTTACAAAAATACTTTTGAGGTTCTGAAAACGATTGGGGACGTTTCTTCATTGGAGGCACGCAGTGACCTTGTCATCTCGAGATCGGCGTCCAGATTCGTACGAGACACTGAAGGTCCAAATTCAAACGTCGATAATTGCAATTACGATTTGGAAGGTAGTCGTACTTCTCGAATCTGAACACGATCGAAGGAACAATCGTTTCGAGATGATGCCGAGGTCACGCTTCAGCACCGGTCGGCCTTAACCTTGTCGCTAGTCGTGCAGGTTCTTGCTGAGCAGCAGATTATTGTGCGGACCCGACAGGTGCCTGATCAGCTCTTGTAAACTATCGAAACTTAACGAACAGAAGCAACAAGTAAACGTATTGTCCGGGGCGGCTATCACTCCTCTGTGTACCGAGCAAAGATGCTTCAGCAGGTGGGCCTTTTGCTTGAACATGGCGACACAGAGTCTACACGCGAACGGTTTTTCACCGGTGTGCACTCTCAAATGCGTCTTCAAGTTCCATGACATTCCGAACTGTTTGCCACAATAGCTGCACCGATATTCGCGGACGGGAGTGGACTTGGGTGGGTCGTCTGTGGGTGGCGGCGGAGGTGCCCTCGCTGGGGGCAACGCCCAAGAACCCCACGGTGGCTCCAAACCCGCTGCCGATGCTGGGTCCGCGCTTGGAGGCCTGTGCGACGCTCCTGGAGGCGTCACTGACCTGTCCTGCTGCAAAATAAAACCACTTGTTACAAATATGGACTCTTGGAAGGATTTGGTTGGTGTATAGTGAACAAAACTACTGTTGCAACTTAATTTTTTAAATGAAAAATACAGTCTATTTTAATCTAGTTAATCTAGTTTATATAATTGTGAATTAGAAGGAAGTTATAATGTTTGAGAATGGTATAGAAAGACATACCAGGTACGGAGGCGCGGAGACGCTGAGAGGATGTGGCGCCTGCAATCGCCTCGGCGTCTCGAAACCAGGATTAAACGGTACGAAGGCTGGATTCTGTGCTGGCGCATTGTGGAATCCTGGCCTTCGTTTTCGATGGGGCGTCACAACGTACGCTTCCGCAGGTGGGATAGGTATTTCTTCAGGTTTCCGTTTTCCTGGTTCTAAGCCTAACGCTAGTCGAGCCGCTAACTGTCTTCTCCTCTCCTCCGCCTCTTCCAGAGATTCTCGCCTCTCCAGCAATTGCTTTTCTGGCCTAAATACAAATACTCATATTAGTCCACATTCTAAGATGAACTGAACTAGTTACTTCCTATCTTCTGATTATCTTATTTGAATGAAGTCAGATATTTTATCTAATCCAATTCAAGTTGAATCGTGTTTTGGTTGCTTCGTTTAAGTCAGGTAACCTTGTGGTTGTCTCATCTGATTCAGGTGAGACAATCTTTTGGTTGACCTATCATCTGATTCAGGACAATCATGGTAAAAAACGAAATGCTAACCAAATGTCAACATGCCAAAACATTGAAACGAAACTTGAGTCTCAACCAAATGTCATGCATCCAAAAAAGTGAGGCTTAAAGAGCCATAAGGATGACAACCAAATGTCAGCATCCAAAAAAGTGACATCTTGAAGGATGTTCAAATGTCAGCAAGAAAACCAGAACACGAAGCTTGAAGAGCCATAAACAGTCACAAAGTAGAAGTATTAGACCAAATACAGAATCTACAGGTTCAAAGATGAGGTCCTCACCTAGGCACGATATCGTGCGAACTTTCGCTGGTAGTCGAAGTTCCAGAGTTCAAACTAAGGTTGACAGGATCAGAGCTATCCCTCCGTCGAGGCGGTTCTATACTGCTTTCTCTGTTCTCCGTGAGGAGAGCTTCGCCCTCGACGCCTTCGACGTCCACTTCCGGTTCCTCCTCGCAGCCCTCGGTCTTTATGAGCACCGAACAGCAGTCTGCGGGGTTATTGGATTGCCTGGAAATTTCAACGTCATATAACCTCTGCATCCTGAATCAATTAAAAAAATTGGAGCTGCACTCGAACGTAAATGTCGAAAGAGGGAAGAATGACATTATGAGAATCGATATCTTGCATCAATACGAAACAGATATCTTAATAGTTTTCTATCTTGGAAATTACAATATCTATTTCGTTGATCGTATTGACATTTCACGAACACTTAACGCTCGCCTCTTTACCAACCTGCCGTCATACTGCGACTCGTAGCTGGAACTTTCCTGGCCCTCCGAAGGCTGAGGGGTGGGCACTCTTTCAGGATCGGAGTTGCTGGAGGTCTGAGGTTGGTTGGGCTCGAACAGCTCCGACTTGATTTGAAGAAGCTCGAACAGCTCCCTCAATGGCGTCAGTTCCGTCGACTGTAAATCAAAATGGCACTAACCGTTTCAACCATTCACTATGGCGGACTATGATGCCTTTATTGAACAGGTTGGACTGCGAGTCTGAACTTCAGGGATGTAACGTCTACCTCGTTAAGATACGAATATGATGACTACTAGTATATGATAAACACTAGTATATTAGCAGAGATGTTTTAGTGATATATTAATGTATCAAGTTTTGTGGTGCTGAACGGTTGTTGTCTAATGTGAAGTTTGGGTAAATTAGATGAACTTGATGGTTACTTACGGGTATAAGAGCTTCCCCATTGTAAAGAAATTCCAGCAGATGGGTCAGCTGGGTTTTTCGGACCCCCGACAAATGGACCACATGGTCCAGCGCAGGATTTCGAAGAAGACTAGCCAAAAGGGGACTAGCTGCGGCCAAAACAACACGGTGAGCTTTCACGACGGATCCATCGTCGCAAGCTAACGTCACGTCCACGTGACGGTCCCCGGTGTACCAGGCTCCGACCTCTGCGGCCAAGGTCGCTGGATGCTTCCCATAATGGAGTGTCAGGAGACCGTCAGTATACATCGTCTGCACAGATGAAAATACCAATTACAATGTGGCACAAATAATTAACATGATTATTGTTACCACTCTTAAATTCATCAAACATAGGCATACATCATCAAGAAACCTGCACATATCATCTGTATTTGAAGATGGTGACAGAACTTTGAGAGGAAGTAACTACTTAAAGTTAAAAAGTTATTGTTGTATATGGTTATAGTATATTGTAAATATAATTTATTGGAGGAGTCTGTTGTTCATTTAACCTATTTTTATTGGCCTTGACATTGACCTTGAAATATAAAACCTATGCGCAGTACATTACGATAAGTCGTATGTATGCGCAGTTATGTTTATAGGATGTAAATATCATAGAGGTATAAATATAACGTTATTGCGCAAATTTATTATTCACAATAACCGACTGCGCATCACTTCAGTTTTCAAGGTCACTCCCATATGAGCTGGACTTGCAAAACAAGATCATGCTGGTATTTCTTTGTGCTTTTGAATAAAAGAAAAAATCATAGCACTAAGTAATTAAATAATTAATATATATTCTCCAGTATAACAATAAGTCCAAGTGTACCTAATCTTGAATGCAAGAGAAATAAAAATAAAAGCTTAACCCACTTATTAACCTACCTTTAACTATTAAACCACCTACCATTAAATATCAAATCTCTTACAAAATATTACTTTTCACACAAAATGTAACGCGAAGGTGTCTTTTCGGAGTAACGTTTCGCAACGCGACGACAGAATAGAAAAGTTAAATACCGTTTTCCTGGAAATTCTTTCATAACGATGAAATGAGCGAAATATACGTGAAACGTCCTTCACCCAATAAATGTGGTCTTGCAGTCTCGCGTCATGCAAAGACGGCTTCGTTACACTAATTTCATCTTTCCGTGTTCTGCTTTTCTTCGAAACGGAAGGCGGTGACGTATCCTAAGATTATGCTTCTCACGTTTCTCTGACATTCGCTCAGCTTTCTGCTAAGGACTCGAATCGCGACAGCAAGAACGTATAATCATGTCACTAAGCTATTTATACCAATTCTGTTCCACGGATTTGCATATTTCAATAAAAATCGGTTCGTTTTATTATCGGTGTAATGTGTGGCATTGAAAGGAAAATGCTTCTTTACAATTTTAATTGGCTTTTATAGTATTTGTGATACTATACAATGGTATAGTAATTTGATAGTGAAAAATAGCTGGGGGTAGGTACAGTAAAAAATAGTAGAATTTTCAGAACACTGTTCGTTTAATTAGAATTTCAATTAGCCTGTACAACTCTAATATCACTACGTTGATCTGGAACTTGAAATTGTTCAAATGGGAATCAGAAGAAATCAAAGTAAATCTTAATTTAGGGAATTATGTTCTTGACATGCACTTCGCTAATTAACCACTTAATTAGAGCTTTAGATAGACTCTACAATACTAGAATACTGTATAAATACTATATAAATACTAACAATCACTCCATTTAATTCGTTCTGCTTCATACGTTGTCCTATTCGCATAATTACTTTCGGCATAGTCGGTTCGGTGGCTCGCACTCCAATAATCTCAGTCCTCTACTATTAAATAATAACTGTATCATATTCTAGGAAGAATTAGGTTAATTCGATTAACCTAAGAAGCCTACAATAAATCTAACAAGCCTCCTAAATTTCCAAATTTCTAAAATCAAAACATATTTCAAATTTTCCCTCCATTTTATCAACTCTCGGTCCGCCATTTTATTTTCCCAAAGAGAAAATACAATCTGTTCCCACGTATGCATTGATAAATATAACAATCGCATTTCAGCAGTAATTAAGCAGTTCAGACCTTGCTGATTAACGATCTCTCGAAGCAAAATGCTGTAAAACTATTATATAATTCTCCGAGAAATTTTTTTGCTGAAGTAGCAGCGACAGTAACGCTGAAGACTGGCCAGTTCGTGATGAAATATTGCCGTGACTCATGCAATTATAGTACAATTTAATTCACGATTAGAAAATAGCACAACGTTGTCGTCGGCAATTAAAATGTACCTCGTATATTTATACGATAATTGCGTACATATATTATTTATAACAGCTGTAAATCTGTCTTAAAATAGAAATTCAGAGGATCATTAGAATATTCCATTGTTTATTTAAATGAAAGTTTCGTATGCAATTAATGAATACATCATATGTTAGGTTAGGTTATATTCGTATTTAGGTGTGCATTCAAATATTGTAAGTTCATATGTAATTATTTTAAGATTGTATTTAGTATGTAAACATTTACATGTGTAATTTTTATTTTTTATTTATGGTGACAATACATAACCTGTATTTTTATTTTGTACATATGGTAGCAGTACATAACCTCTATTTTTATTTTGTACATATGACAACCATACATAATCTCTATTTTTATTCTGTACATATGGTAACAATACCTAACCTCTATTTTTATTTTGTATATATACTAACACTACATAACCTCTATTTCTATATACATAAATTTGAAGCATAAATTGTCACATGATTTTAAACTTTCTTTCGTAATCTTCGTTGACTAAACATTGTACTAAACAGGTACATTATTTTTTTGATCATTTACAACAGATAAGTGACATAACGAGGCAACAATGACAAAGTTTCGTGACCATCGTTTGAATAAATTTGACATTTCATCGCAGTCCCATCGTTCCTCAAGGGAACCCAAGAGAAAGTTTGATTTCACGTTATCCCCGAACGAGCAGCTTGTAATTAATATTATGAAACCAATGCCGTAAACATCGTCGCGTTCCGCAATGTCAAACGTGTCTCAGGTACAATGGGTTTCACGTTTGTTTCTTCTCCTTTGTATCAGCTGATTTTCTGTCAAGTGAAGCGAATCGATGTCGACTCCACACCTTGAATCAATCTTATACAGGTACAAAAAGTATCGATGATATATCAGTTTCATTCGTTGAAGAACAAGATGGCAAGCTGTTAACTACTTGTGATGGAACCGGTACAATAGGAAAGCCCGTCAAGCGAATATATTAGATTTGTCCTTCGAAGAACGATTCGATCAAATTCGAAAGGGAAGACCTTGAGTAAAAGTCACGAAGATCTACTCTGTAATGAGATTTACTGTGTCGGAGACACGTGGGACACGGATGGGCAACGATGAACTTTACAGGCGACGTTTGGATGAGTTAGGTGTAGAAAGAAATATACTTTAAGTTATTATATGTTCATATCTCTATATTCATAAGTTGTTGTATTTCCAAATCTCTATATTCATAGATTTCTAGGTTCTCAAATCCTTTTATTTTCGAGTAGGGATATGGTCCATATGGGGATATGCCCAAATCCCTAGATTCTTAAATACAGGTATTTCCAAGTCCCTGTATGCACAAATCTCTAGATTCCCAAATCCCTAGATCCCCGATTCCCTAGATCCCTAATTCCCTAGATCCCCGATTCCCAAAATTCCAAATTCCATAGATTGCAAATTCCCTAGATTGCTAAATCCCTAAATTCCCAAATCCCTAAATTCCCAAATCCCTAAATTCCCAAATCCCTAAATTCCCAAATCCCTAAATTCCCAAATCCCTAAATTCCCAAATCCCTAAATTCCCAAATCCCTAAATTCCCAAATCCCTAAATTCCCAAATCCCTAAATTCCCAAATCCCTAAATTCCCAAATCCCTAAATTCCCAAATCCCTAAATTCCCAAACCCCTAGATCCCAGATTCCCTGGATCCCTAATTCCCTAAATCCCCGATTCCCAAAATTCTAAATTCCTTAGATTGCAAATTCCATAGATTGCAAATTACCTAGATCCCCAAATCTCTAAATTCCCAAATCCCTAAATGCCCAAATCCCCAAATCTCGAAATCCTCAACTACCTAAAGCTCCACATTTCTCAATTCCCCAAATCACTAACTGCATAATTCCCCAAATTCATCCACCTCCACACCTAAACACCTCCACATCTAAACCTTCCCTATATTTTCCCCACGTTCTCCCTAGATCTACATCCTCCACATCCACATACTCCTCCAATGACTCATCCTAATCAACTCCTTGCTCTGTAAAATCCTTCCACTCCATAAGCAACCTTGGCAACCCGTGGCAAAGCAACGAACATCGGAGCATTGCACTCCCGATCAAGAAGAATCGAAGAGAGCCGAAGAAAGGAAAAAAGAACAGGTCCTTGGGGTAAGAATTATGGCATGACGTCGAACGTGCGTTACTCGGCCGCATACGTAATGATCCGTCGGCCGCTTACCAAGAAAATCACTGAATAAGGAAATGGCCGGTGGTGCGTCTGCGTTGTTGTTGCTGCTGTTAGCAGCCACGGCTCAAGTTCAGGGTCAATCGCTGACCGACCGGCTGCATTACGTCCACGCTTACGCTTACGTTCGTGTTTCTTCTTCTATTTGGACCTTGAAGACTTGCCGGGCGGGGTCTCGTGCCGTTCGTGTACGGTGGGGGACAAGGCCCCGTGCCGCTACATGCAGAAAACTCTGGCCCACTTGTCTGCCACCAGGGTGGGGGGAAACTTGACTTCGCCGGTTTTACCGGTCAACGTGTACCTCTCGTTCGTTTTGTACGGTGCTGCACTCTCTCCGGTGGTTGATCAGAATCGACGCATTTCGACGCGTCGGTAAACTCTGCCTTGTCGCTCGTTGATAAAACTGCGGAATCGCGTAGAGAGAGCAGCACGGATTTCGTGAGGGGCTCGTTGGGAGGCGATATACGTGTCACTAGAATCTTAATAGCTCTTTTGGTATTTATAGTTTAAGTTTCTTTTTGGAAAGTTTAATTGTTTCGAAGAAATTGATATTGGTTTGTAATGGTTAGATATTTTAGCTGTTAGTAATAAATTTCTTAGGCTTCCTAAGAAATCCCACAGTTCCTAAATTTCGTAGTTCTCAAATTCTCTAGTTCCCAAATTTTTCAGTTTTCAAATTCCCTAGCTTTCAAACTCCCTAGTTCCAAAATTCCCTAGTTCCCAAACTCCCTAGTTTCCATATTGCTTAGTTTCGAAATTCCCTAGATTCCAAATTGCCTAGTTCCGAAATTCTCTAGTTCACAAATTTCCAAATGACCAAATCCTCTAGATTCCAAATTCTCTAGTTCCCAAATTCCCTAGTTCCCAAATTTCCAAATTACCAAATCCCCTAGTTCCCAAATTCTCTAGTTACCAAATTCCCCAGTTCCCAAACTCTTCAGTTACCAAAATCCTTAGTTCCGAAATTTCCAAATTACCAAATCCACGAGATCCCAAATTCTCTAGTTCTCAAATTCCCTAGTTCCCAAACTATTTAATTACCAAATTCCCTAGTTCACAAATTCTCAAATTTCTAAGTGACCAAATCCCTAGTTCCCCAGTTTCCCACTTCTCAAATTTACAAATTTCCAAGTTACCAAATTCCCTAGTCCCCCAGTTTCCCACTTCTCAAATCCTCTAGATCCCAAATTCCCAAATTCCTAAATCTTCAACATCCCAATTTACCAAATTGTACAACTCTCCAAACAACCACATCCCTAAATTCTCAAATCCCAAATTGAAAATATAAAATTTCCCCCATCCCCAAAACCTAACCTCAAAATAATAAATGATCACATACAAACCATGACAAACAAGATTGTACAATACTCCGTCTCAAGAAGTTAATTCCCCATAACTCAAAACAAGATAAACCACATCACATTCGACGTAGAATATCATAGACCTCCATTTTAATCGCGCGCAATGCACCCGCGCCGATGCACAGAAACGTAAGAACACGAAACGACTACATTGTAACTTCAATTGTAGGACACCGTTTATGCCATAACGAAGTACGGCGTGTATCGCGCAAAATTCGCGAGTAATAACTCCGCATCGTTTTCGTGCTTCTCCGCATAAAGATTAGCAAGGCATAGGTTGTCCCGTGTGCAAGATCGAATCGGAGCGTGCTAGCGTTTGATAAAGAGAACGGTAAGGAGGTAACGATGCAATAAGAACTAGTGCAACTCGCCTCGCGAGCCGGAGATAAGATAAGAACAAGAGGAGAAAGTTGGTGGAATTCGTAAATTTCGTTACGCGAACTCTCCATGGACGTCGGTCGCTTTATCGCCGCGCGGCATACTAATACGCTCGCGTGTTGCTCGCGTGTGTGTACACTTTCGTCGCGTCGGTTCACAACGTACACTCTTGACGCAACGATGCGCAGTGCCATACACACGCGAGCGCACACGCGTCGACATGCATACACACACGCGAGCATTATAATCTATCCGGATGACGGACGTTACGATCTACCATTGAATCGAACAATGGCGAAACTGGGTTACGCAAATGTCGAGGCTGGAAATTAAAGCGTGACACGGGGGATAGAGAGAGAGGGGGCGGAGGGGGCCTCCCAGCGACATCCAACGGTGAAAAAGATTGAACTCTTGTAGGTAAAAAGAAAGAGGAAACGTTCCGTGATGTTAAGATCTGTTTCCCTCGGTTGCACGATTTTAACGAATTCTGGTTAAGAGACGAATGATTTCGAGAAATCTCGAAAGCGCTGATGAAATGAAAACGAAATGCGCGGAGAAGTAGTGATGGGTTCGAGCGAGTTGTACGTGGATTCGGTTGTGGATACGGAAGTTTAGTGAAATTGGGAATTTTTGAGAAGGTTACGTTCTTTAGTAAACTGTGATGAATTAAGAGAGGAATGATTTTGAGAAATCTCAAAAGCGCTGATGAAATGAAAACGAAATGGGCGGCCAAGTCGTGATGGGTTCAAACGAACTTACTTCAATATGAACTTGATTTAATCTGATCTAATGACCCAACCCTCAAATCCCCAAATTTAAAAATCTTCAAATTCTCACGTCCTCAATTTCCTACATCCCCAGATCTCCACACCCCAAAGTTCCCAGAACCCCAATTCCTAAACTTAAAAAATCCCCAAACCCCAAATTTTGTGATCTCCAAATCTCCAAATCAAGTCCTTAAATTCCCAAATTCCGGAACGTCAAACCCCCCAAAATAAGAGCCATTAGCGACGAGCATGTTCAGCACGTCTCCAGTTAAACGGGCTAGTGAATTTTAACGCGTCAGGCGTGAAATTTCTTGTCCCTGATCAACGATACGGATCCGCGAAAATAATGGAGCTGTTTTGGTGTTTGTCGTAAAGGGAACAGATCGTGACGGTACGCATTAAGGCGAGGCGGCTCAAACCGCGCAAACCAGCCTGCACGGATTGAGCAACGCGTAGAGAGAACTCGTTACGAGGCCTGTAACGGGGTTCAGACGTTTCCGCTCCATTTTTTGTGGGCCCAATTACGTTTCGCCAGCCTCGATAGGCCGTATTTCGCGGTCTCATCGGACATCTTTTATGTGCATGCATCGCGCTCGAAAAGCGTTCGTTTGGAACACCATAGATTACGGGGATGCAACACGCCATATTACTGTAAAATATGTAACATTCGGAAGAAATTCCTTTCAGCTGGAGTCGATGATCTCTTCGGAATTAGACGTGTAACCATCAATATCGTTGGTGATAAATATTATAATGTTAAGGATAGTGGACTCTCCTTATATTGCCGTTTTTAATGTTGTCATATTATATTCTTGCAGTATAAATATACGATGCATTGCAGTATATTAATTCATCAGAATTGCTGTTGTTCAATAGTAATAGTTACTGAAAGTATTGTTGAGGAGCGTATGTAGCAGACTCTTACTATATCGCCATTTTCATATATCTCGTATTATCATTGCATTGTTGCACATTTACTTGTGCTATACTATTACACATTATATTAACCTACAACATGCATGTTGTTACATGTACATGTCACCTTACACTGTCTCGCGTTATATCGCCATCACTCGTTAGTATCAAATAATAAAATTTGTGAGATATGTTTCCTTAGTAGAATCTATAACCTAATGCAGACTTATATTGCTGACAATATTGTTCCCGTAGAAAATTCTTGCAAGTGGCAATATATTAGATCGATTAAACCGTCTTTTTTCCACAAATAATGATCGTTAAAGTGCGCGAGATCGTGTGAAGTTGAGAATCTATTACAGCGAGTTTAATCGCGATAAATTAGAAATACGTAACGAGCATTATTTTAGAAGAAATACGTTGAGATTAAAAAGCAAGTAAAATGGAGAGAGCACGAATAACGGAAGTGGTACAGTTCAGTTTGTTCAAGCACCGCTTACCGCTTCTTACGTATTTGCATATATCGCTATTTATAAATAGTGTGCTGTAGACATAAGTTATTCATTATATTCGATAAAAAAGGAATGTTAATCGTAGCTGCAGCTCCTTCCGCTATTTATGGCGCTAAGAATACTTCATTTAATTTTTAACGCATTATTTACTGCTCGTCAACGAAATGGATAAGTACTATCACTTTAGAAATTAATAGTTTGCTAAAAGTTAAAAGGCGTGACGATATTTTTATTTTATTCTTCATTGTAACACGTTTGACTTTCACTATTTCAATCGATAATAATAGATGAATGATAGTCAATGGGTTATTGATGTTCACTTTGATAAAATTCACTTTTCATTCTTAATATAAAGTCTTCTGTACATTTCTTTCCTAATACATTTTTGAGTCGTGTACATATAATTGTACATATTCTATTGCAAGTTTATAACAAATTTTATTGTGTCAGTAATTAAATAACAATCTTATGTGATGCATAGCGTGAACTTTAATGATTAACTTAAAAAATCCATAATACACTTTTTTGTTTCAGCACTTAACCTCAAAAGTAGATACATTTCTTAATTTCAGTGATTAACCTCAAAAGTGAATATATTTCATAATTTTGATGATCAACCTAAAAAGTGCGTACTACATTTCTTAATTTTTGTGTTTAATCTGAAAGGTAATTTCATAATATCAGTGTTTAAGGAAAATACGTAATCAATATATTAACATGCTTAACCTCAAAAATACATAACATGCAAATATGTAGACAACATTCTTATTTCCAACAAAATAATGTCATAACTTTCATTTTATCACCGATAGAGTAGTTCAATTTGAAAGAGTTCGAACAAAAATGGCTGATCGTTTGACAAGACGCGTTGTAGAAATCGAGCGCCATTCTTTCAGCTCGTAACTAGCGCTTCGTGGCTCGTTAATTCCCCATCGTGTTTCACGTTTTAGAATTGAAAATACGTAATTTGAACCGAGGGCAGGGTTATGACACCCCGTGAAACCAGTGACTCACACCTTTCCCTGATTTCGAATTACTATTTTCCAGCCAGTCTCTCACGCTCTCCCTCTTGCGCATCGCTCCGTCGACTGTAACGTACTCTCTCTGATATTCTTTCTCTGTCTCTACCGTTCATCTCTCTTCGTCTCACCCAGTCGCCCGCTTTTTATATAGCCAAGCTTACGAAAATCCTCGGAACGCGTTCGGATATTACGAAACGCTATAACGCGAGAAATGAACGTGAACCTTAGGGATGCACTCTTTGAACATCGAAATTAATTACATTTAAGGAAATTCACTTTCGTAATATTCTTGTAATTTTCAGAAAATTTGTAGTAGGCCAGAAATGTTTTGAAATATTTGCTTGTACCTTCACAATATTAGAAAATATGTTATTGTAATATGTTCACAATTTTTGAAGATGTGTTTCTGTAGCAGCTTCATAATTTTGGGAAATGTGCTTTGGGACTACCTTTACAATTTTAGAAATAAATACTTCTACAGAATGGTTACAATTTTAAGAAATGTACTTTTGTAGTACCTTCACAATTTTTGAAACTATGTTTTTGTAGTGTCTTCACAATTTTGTAAAATATGTCCTCATAAAATATTCAAAACTTGTAAAAAATTAAAAATTAAAATTAATAATCAACTGCAACAAGAGACTCAATCTTACGAAACTTATGTCAATAAAAATGGAGCATGAAGCTTAATAAAAACAGAAAATAATTTCAGCAGACAACAGTAACAAGAGAAGTCCTATAAAAATGGAAGTTTAAAGCTTAATAAAAGTGTAGGCAAAAACATGTGATGTTAGTAAGGTGAATTTCCGTGGGCCATCCTTTGAGCGTCAAAAGAAAGGTGTATATAATTAATTGGACAGCGGCGAACGTAGTGTGATGGATGGCGGGGCAATATAGAGCGAGCACGCGTCAAAAGGCAACAATAAAAGAGAACGCAGAGGATATACGTTTGGACGTAGGGGAACTCTGTCGTTCCCTCGGCCGATCGGCGGTCGTCGAGTCACCGGATACATTTCGCTCAAGGCCAGAAAGTAAAAAGCCTTTTCAGCTGCACTTACGTACCAACCTAGCCGACTCTAACTGGTACGTGGTCGCGCACACTCTTCCCAGGTATACACACGCGTGTCTCGTACACTCGTGCGCGTGTGTATGGCCTTGTGTGTGTACGCGCGAAGGCGTCTCTCCCTCTCCTCCGCCTCTCCTTCCCCTCTCTCTCTCTCTCTCTTTCACTCTCCCGCCCCCCTTCGTCTCTTGCTGTCTCTCGTTCCGCGAAGCGAGTCCGCGAAGCGGCTAGTTACATGATCCATTCATTATATAAGAACAATCGCCTCCTCTAATAGACGCTCCATCATTGTAGATCTGAAGGGCATGCTTGTTACGCGCGCACGCGTGCACTTCTTCGCTCTATGGGGCAATCGAGTGCAGCGCCGCTTTCTGTTAGTTTCAAATTTTTGGGAATTTACGATTGATCTAGGTAGTAAGGTGGAGAGGTCTGGGGTCTCTAGGGAACTCTAATTGGGGAACGAGAGGATACGATTTATCTTTGATAGATTCGAGAATTTGGATGTCTTGACATTGGCAAATTTGGGAAATTTGAAATGTTGGATATTGGGGAATTTAGAAATCTTGGATGATTAGGGATTCGGGGAAATTTGGGGATTTCAGAGTTTTGAAATTTGGATGCTTGGAAATTTGAGACACTTCAAGTCTGAAAGTATAGAAAGTTAGAACTGTGGAAATATAGGGGTTTGAGGATGTAGAGATACAGAGGTCTAGGAATATGTGGTACTAGGGATATAGAGCTAGAAGAACACGAGAATCTAGGGATATAGGGACATAGAAATGCAAGAGTCAGATGCTATCTGAATCGATTGACATTGAGATGTAGGCTCACATATTGACATATGTAGATGTTGATATGTGATGTGGATATCTATGCATACTAAAATCTGCGACTGTTGGAATCTAGGGATATTGGGAGCTATTAGGGCTAGAATCTAAAGATATTAAGATCTATCAATATCAAACTCTATGGATATTTGAAGCTGTTAAGATGTAGAGCTATTAAGATCTCCAAATGTCATAAACCTCCAAATTCTCAAGCATCCAAACACTCGCAACCCCAAATTTGAAAATTACCGCCAAAATGTCAGATGCATTTAAAAAATATATTTTTACACCCAGTAGATAAACCGGCTTTATGAAAGGCAAGTTTTGTATAATTACTTTTTTTATTCGTTATACGTTTGCATTTTGTTTTGTAGTTTTTGCAGAGGCCAAGGGTAACAGTGGGATGCAGAAACGTTCGACTTTCGACCTTGTTTTCTCATCTCGAGCTAGCAGCTGATCGATCTTTTCAGGATAAATATGATGTCAGACGTAATATTGTACGTCGGATACTTTTGAGTAGTTGCATAACGAGAAGGATGCGTGGAGCTCCGTAGCCGCAGGATCACGTGGAAACGCGGAAATACGACGAAACACCGACTTCATAAACCATAGCCGCACCTAGCTTTTATGGGCCCCGTGCCAAACACCGACATCGCGTTCGATGCTATTGTACTGATTCGGTTAATTAATTTTATTGTTGCTACGTGTGGTACTATTGCAATTGGCAATATAGACAGATATTTTTTTCATGTAATTTGAAGCTTTGAAAATATATAATTTTGTCATTTTGTCAGTTTGGAGATAGCTAGATTGGAGAATGTATGAGTGAACATTTTTTAATTTTAAAATTTGGGAATTCTTAAATTTATACGTTTGTCAATTTGCAAATACAATTGTAGCTGAGTAAAATTTTCTGCGTTTGAAAATTATTAACTTCAGAAATTTCTGCATTTGTAAATTTGTATATTCTGCGTTTGTAAATTTCTACATTTGTAAATTTATAGTTCTGCATTTG